GAGAGAGAGAGAGAGAGAGAGAGAGAGAGAGAGAGAGAGAGAGAGAGAGATCCCGTTGATGGTAATGAATTACGTTTGGCTTTTTAAAATGGGAAAAGTAACGCGACTTACAGTCTCCAAGATAATGTTCACAATCAAAAACAAAAAGCGATCTTCCACCTGTGGAATAAAAGCTTACACTGCAGCGTTATTCCTTGACCTATAAATTACCCATAAAAACTAGCCATATTTCATTCTACATATAAAAACTACACCTGCCTTGGTACAAAGTTGTTGCACGTGTAACAACTTTTATTGGATCCCTCTTTTTTCTTGAAGAATACATTTTAAGTATTTAGATATCACGAATAAAGTAAGCAGTTGTGAAATAATTAACTACAGCACTTTAAAATTGAAACAATATTAATCTGTACCTCAAACATTTTATTTTCTAAATTTGCTGCCACAGACCAATGTCTTTGAGCGGATGGTTCACATGTTTATATTATAGCCTTCGAACGCAGACGATGTAAAACATTGAACTTCACCTGACAACAAAAATAATACTAGTGCGGCGAACTTGTAGAAATTAAAGAAGTGATGAGGACAGAACTCTTCGCGAATCTCCATATCACGACGCTTTCCGGGACCAGTACAGAAGTTGTTTAAGACGGAACGTTGTAATTGCCTAGCCTGCATTCTTCACAGAAAACCAACAGGTCTGCATGTATATTTCGTGGCACTGAATCTGCTATACTCTCCTATTAAAAGTCACTTAGTTCGCAGATTTGTTATTTGCCCTCGGGCACGGCGTCAGTTCCTCCATGTTTTCTTTCTTAAAGGAAACACGCAACTAATAAAATGCCAATGCTTTACAGCAAGGCAAAAGTTAAAGTAAACAGCTTTCCACAGATCTAAATCACTGACCAATTTGTTGGAAAATTGGCGTTGTGCCGGTTTCAGGGTACGTTTTGTTTTCTAGAGGCAAAAACCATCAGTCTGCTTTTATCTGGTATGACCTCGCTTCATTTTGCCTTTTAAAAATGATATTGCGTTATTATTGGCGCTTAATAGTGATTGATTTTTTGAGGTACCAATACATTTAAATTAATATGTCAGTGTTCTATTGAGATCTACTTCAAAATGTTTTGAATTTGAACACCCCCCCCTCCCCCCACTCAAAACAACCCTTATCGATCCCAGTGGATGAAGTTTGTAAATCAATAGCAGACATTAATATTCAAATGCAAAGACACAAAAACCACACAAAAAACACATTACAATAAAACATTGCTGTTCACCACTGAAGGACATCATGTGTTTTAGCTGAGGTAATCATGTCTATCTCGAGTTCACAAACCAGTGACAACCCACTTAGAGGCCGTGTCGCCGACAATTAATGGTTGACATTATAATAATTTTGAGTATGACCTCCCTAACCACTCGAATACTGGATTAACTTGCAGTTTATTTCCTTTTGGTAAAGATTTAATATACAACCAGAGATCAGATGGAAACAGAAAAAGGGACAGGCCCAGGAAAAGATGAACAAAAGTGGTCTTAGAAACACAAGTCAAGAACAATATAACCATGCAACAGGGAATGCAACAAACAAAAGAAAGACGGTTGCGTCTCCCCTCAACACCGCTAGGTAACAGAACTCAGACAGAGTAACATTTAAAAGTAAGGTAGAGATTATCAAATGCACAACGAGCCATTAGGCTAAATTACCCCCCCCCCCTTCATCAGGAGTGCTACTGACTGAAGTTGTCTTTAGGTTAACATGTTCTTGAGCACACTAGAATTGTATATGGCTGCTTTATCAATGTCATGCTCATACTGTGCGGAACTACGTAGGGGGAACTGCTGCTTTTTCTTTCCTCATCCTTACTATCGTCATGTTCCTTCTACTTCTTATGTATGTTTGTCACTTTATTGTGAACTGCTATTTCCGGGGTGCCTTGATAGTCGAAGCAGACTTTGTGCTGTTGAGGCTAGCGAGGTGAGCAGAGTAAGCCCGATTCCCCGTTTGGACTTCTCTGTTGACATTCACCCTTTGGCGCTCACACGACTTTATGCAGTTGCTAGCGCCGTAAAACTTTAACAAAAACAAACAAAAACTAGAAAACCTGCAGTGAAAATAATTAGTTGTGTTAAGCCTCCCAAATCAGGCGAAGTTAGTGCGGTGGCACCCACGGGTCTTATCAACACACAGGTTCTGATAGCAGCAGTGTGGCAGACTACGCGCGGCCCTGACAACACTGACAGTCTCTGTTATTGACGGGGGCGTGATAAAATAAACTGCTCCACGAACAAGGAAGCAGCTGCCAATTTATTTTGCGACAGTAAATGCTC